AGTGCATCGGTTAGGAGCACAGCAGGGAGCGGACAGCATCTGCTGATCCTCCTTCTCTCTGCTCCCCACTCCTAGACATGGGGTGCAGGGTGATCTCTGGGGCTCGCGAGCCTCCTTGGGACGCTGGGGTACGTATGCCTGTGTATTTTCTGGTGTGGGTGTTGCACTAGGTGCTTGCCCGTCTGCTGCTGCTCGGCCCGTGCTGCGGCGCTAGCCCGGGAGGATCTCAGTGCCGGCATAACCTTTGCAGCCTGCAGGAAAGGTGACTTCCATTTAGTTCTAAATTATGACATTATTTTATTAGATCTTTAAACTTTATTTAAATTCTTTATTTAAAAAGGGGGAGGAAGGTATCATATTTTAATTAGTAGCGGTGTCAAAGGAGACCTAGATTAATTATTTGAAATCACTCCATCCAGATGGTTTTAATTTTCACAGCAGGGAACCGGCATCTTTTTAAGGTGATATTTTTCAAATTAAAATCAGCTTGGATATTACTCATACTGGCTGCAGAGCAAGGGGGTGGGGAACGCGAGCCGGCATGCCCTGTGTTTGTCCATCTGAGCGCGGCTGCCGGGGGGACCTGCATCGGAGAGGTGCGGGTTGATGACTGTCCGGCGGGACTGTGGATCGAGGCAGTCGCGTTGGCGTGCTTTATCGACGTGAGCTCCTACTTTGGCTGGCCAAAACCCGTCTCTGATACTCAGTGTTAGTCTTAGCAGCTTTAGTTGCAGCGCTGAGACTGGAACGGACGGGGAATGCTTCGCAGCTTAGACAGGAACTTGCCGTGTCCTGTTCTTGCCCGTGTGCGAGCTGTGGAGCCCTTGCTTGACCCCTTCGGTGGGTGGCCCTGGGTCCGTTTGCATGGGCGGGTTTGACACTGTAGATCTGTGGGCAGCTCCTCGGGTGCTGGTCGTGGTTCTTGGGCCAGTCTTTGGGACCTCTTGTGCTGGCTCCATGACCTTCCCTCATGTGCGGGCTGCTGCTCTCCCCATCTGAGGCTGACCATTAGTCCTCTCTGATGCCCTTGTTCATTTGAGAGGAAGACCTTTCACAGTCACCTCTTTAAAGATAGTCCTACCTCTGGCCATTCCCTGGTTCGTTAATGCTGCGTTGCATCTAAGGAGCCTCCCTGAACTTCTTGAAGCAGTGGGCATTCACCAAGTTACATACCGTGTTGCTCCTTTTCCCCTTGAAGACCAATCTTTGACCCTGTGCCATCCTCCCCCATCCTGGCTTTACTCATCCGTATATCCTCATGACGATGGGATATTTCTGGTGCATGTGGCCCTTCCTCGCAGGTGTATGGGGGTCGTCACTGCTTCGGTACCACCTTGGCAGGTGGGGAGGGGAAGCCTGCAGCACCCGGCTGTCGCTGGCAAGTGGCTCTCCATCGCAGATACCCAACAACGTGGTGTGTTTCTGAAAGACTTAGATAAATATCCGTATTTATGCGTGATTGCAAGTAATATTCTGCTATAATACAGGCATTGTCCCACTCACTGTCAGAAAGAAGTTATTATTTAAATATCCCCTGCGATAACAGCTTTAGCAAACGTATCTAAATAAATGTAAAGAGCTAGTAACTGGGAAACCCTGAACTTGCATGTGTGAGTGAGCTGCAAAGGGAAAACTCCGTTTAGGGCCCTTGTGAGTTAAACGTTTGTGATATTTGCACTGCTGCAGAAGCCAAAAGCTGACTTTACAAGTGGGAAAAATATTAATGTGTTTAAATGAAACAAACTCCTATTTCTATCCCCATGGTAAATCCTTACAGCGAACATATTTGCTCTTAGAGGGTTTTAAAGTTTGAAATATGAATGCCAAAAAGAATGTGACTTTTTGCAGCACAGATCAAACATTCTCCAGAGTTTGGCAAAAGCCGTGTTTCTACGGTAAGGCTCGGGTCTTACAAGCGTGAGTATTTCCAGAGCAGGACCGTGGATTTGCACTTGCTGACGCTTACACATTCTTGCATTGTGTTTCAACCATGTCTCCTTTCTCCCCCTCTGTATCGGAGATGGATCTGAACCAAAATGTCCAGTCTGCCTGTTCCTGCCTCTCCAGGGAAATTCCTGGAATCCGAATCTCGAGCATGACTGGAATTTGTGTTTAGATCAGAGACGGAATAAAATGCTGAATTTGGATGTGTCTAGGTTTTTGACGTGATGATGGCACGCTACACATCTGGGTGGCAGCTCGGCCGCTTCTGTGAATACAGCTGTGTCGGGGCAGGTGGTTTATGGAGATGCAGCAGAAATCTGTCCTCTCCCGTGGCTCCTGCAATGCTGCAGACCAGCTCTGGCCTCAGTAAACGTGCGAGGTGCTATGAGATTGGCCATATTTCTCCCAGCTAGAGCAGGAGTCGTGGACCTGGACTGCCAGAAAGCAATTAGTGACCTCCTGGGAACACAGCTAGACGCACAGAGGATGGCTGCAGGGTGGGTGTTCATCAGAGGGAGCGAGCAGTGACGAATCTCTCCCCTGCTAGCTGTTGTGGTGATCTTCAGGAGATCACTGTGAGGTTTTGCACCGTGACCGTGTGGCTGGACTGCTTCTGTGAAGTGTTTGAGGGCTGCTGGCCGTGGGGAAAGGATTTTCATTGCTGTTGTGCTAATGTTTTATTTGCGTGAGAACAAAATCCGTGTTCTCACCCTCTGAGAACCCTCCTGCGGTGTGAAGGGGAGCATCTAGCTTTATACTGCTGACGGTGTGGTGGGATTGGTGTGGTCTGATGGAACACACGTGTATACGTGCGTAGTTTGTGCTAAACTGGCGTTAAATCTGGAGCATCCGCATAGGAGTCGGTGGAGACGTGTCAGCGCTGCACCTGTGAGCAAGCCTGGAGCTCAGCCCAGGGTGGTTCCTGGGTGGTTGCCTTGCAGAGCATCCCCGCGTGGTGTCGTTCGGGTAGAGGTAACGGGACAACGCGCTGATGAGCTTTGCACGCTCTGACTTAACGGGACTGTATTGGTAAATGCTTTTTTTTTTTTTTCTTCTTCCTTTACAAGCCCAGCTTCTAGTGGAAACAGACACTTTTGGCAGTCAAGTCCGGATCAAAGGGAAGGAGACAGACTTCTACCTTTGCATGAACAGGAAAGGCAAGCTCGTGGGGAAGGTGAGTGTTTCCCATTAATTCATTTGTAACGTGTTACCTTTAGCAGCCTCCTCAAGGCTGTAACGATGTGTTCGAGCTTTGTCTGTTAGCCTCAAATGAAAAGTGGGACGGGGGGGTTTGCGAGGCAGCCCGTGCCCTTCCGAGCCTTCCCCTGCGCCCGTAAAATCGAGCTCTGCGGCGAGCCCCGGGATTCTCTGATGCCGCTTCGGATGCGGATGGGTTTGCATCAAACTGATGTGAGATGTCATCTCGGCATCCCGCTGCCGCGGCCACCTCCACAATGACTTCATTGCTTGATCTTTTGCTTTGGGGTGAAATTCAAAATAAAAGGGCCAGTGGAGTGCTGCGCTGGGGAGGTCGGTAGGCGACATAAAGCTCCTTTCGGTGGTGAGCCGGGGGATGGCGTGGCACGGGTAATACTGGAATCCCAACGTCGTGCTGGGGCCGGGCCTCACAGTTCTAGCGTTACAGGAATATTTTATTACTTTGGATCCCCGCACAATGGAAGCATGCAACAAATTACAGCGTGTTCACCCATCTAGCTTAACTTCTTTGCTGAAGTCATATTTTTTACGTATTAACTTGTTTTTGTAACTTAGGCAGCTCTTCTGTATTGTTGGCGAGCCTAGAAGCTTGCTAACCAGGCGGGAGCTTGCTCAAAGCTAAAATATCACCAAAAAATAAGTATAAAATAAACCATCTCAGCCCTCGAAGGCCCCCTCCCTCCCCTGCCTGCACTTTGCACCACCAGGAATTAAAATCTGGCATCTTTGTGGCTGTGAAAAAGGGAAGCTGAGTTTTGTTTTGAGTCAACACAGCAAAAGCCACGCTCCCAAACAGAAACCAGAAACCAAATTGCTCTGATGAAACATTATTTACTTTTGTGGTCCCGAGAGTGACACTTGTGGGACAAGCGCCTTCCCGGGAGGATCCCTCCTGCCACTTTTGTTTTCCTCGCGAGCAGCGCAGATGCTTCTGTTGAGACTTCAGCCCCGATCTTTCGCGGGCAGCCGCTAGCCGTGGCAGCCTGCCTGACCCGCTGCCGAGCTGCTCCGGCGAAGCCGGCAGCATCCAGGACGCTGCTCGAAATCGGTGGGGACTTGGAAATCGGTGCTCCGGGAGGGTTGGACCAACGCAGCCGGTTCTCGCTGCTTCCTGCGCTTCTGTGGTGCAATTACTGCTCTGAATAAGGCACCGTTGTTTGGGTTTGGACAAGGAAATACGGGGTTTTTACTGCCTTAGACTTCTCAGGATATATACACATGGACGCTTTTGAATGTTGCACTGAACCCAAACCTGGCCCTGGATATTAATTTTTTTTTGGCCTTAATTTTCCATCCTTTAAATGTGATAATAGAGTTTTTCCCCTGAAATATTATAAGGATAATTTTGTTAATGTTCATGAGGTGCCGATACCACAGTAACGGCGACCTTAGAAGCATCCAAATTAGATGGCGTAAAATGAGCATGAAATCTTACCTTTTTCTTTAGTAGACCTTACCCCGGGGCAGATGAGCAGTGGTGCACAGTGCAACCCACATCCTTACCTGGTCTGCGCTGAGTGTCCGGGAGCGTCCTGGCAATGTCAGAGGCTGTTTTTCAAAATGCATAGTATATTTTGGCAGGATTCATCCCTTGACTTGGCCCATTGGGCACCAAGGCAGGACAGTTCTTTAGCTTGTTACCTTTCATACAGCGTCAAGTTTTTTTTTTTTTTTTTCCTTGATGTGCTTTTCATAATGTTAAGTTGGCAAACAGTTTGTTATAAAAAAAATAATAAATCTATTCTTGTAAATATGAGCCTTCCCACCCCAGACTGCTGACAAGTTCATAAACCAGCCGACCTGAGCAGGAGGGGGTACGGAGCATGGCGTTTGGAAGGAAAATGTTCCAGACGCGTTGCCCATATTAACAGCTTCTCATGAGCAAAAAAAGAAAGTAATAGCATGTCTTCTTGATACCAAAGAGTGTGGTTTTAATTAGTATCATAGTTTCAGCTCTTTTTGTGGCAAGAGTTTGAGGGAATGCTTTTTAGCCTGAATGCTCTAAACAGCTAGTAAACCCCAAGGAAAACATTAGATAAAAGTTACGCCTGGGCTTATACAAATATTTAAGTTCAGTCTGGGGGTGGAGGGGAATGAAACCCATAAACTGATTGTTTCACGGTCGCCCCGGTATGTTCGTTTGGCAAGAGAGGAGCCATGGGACCAAACCGGGTCTTTTTCTCTGCTCATTTCCTATTGCCTTACACTGCATAATCCCTAACAATACCAGCATATGCCATCTGGCTTTGTTCTCCTCCTCAGTCAGCAGTTTTGGATCCCCCCCAGTTGAAAACCTGCTTTGAATTTAGTCCTTTTTGTTTCCCATAATCACCTACAAAGGGTATTACAGACGCGAGCAGGTTGTTGTTGTTCTCAGCTGGAACTGGTGATGCATGCAGGAGCTCCAGAGCCGGGGCTTGCTGCCCACCTCGGAGCCCGTTGTGTTGCAGGTCAACTGACAAACCCATTGGGCTGAGAAGAGCAGCTTTTGCGTCTTTTTACTAATTTATCAGGAGTTGCACCTATGCCAGCTTTTCTGAGCAGAGGCCATCTGATGGAGCTTTCTCAGGAGCCCCAAACCTTGTTTTTTCCTCCTCACTTGGTTGTTACCCCATGTGTGTTCACGGCCAGCGTTGGCCAAAGGGCTCAGAGGTGTTTTGGGTAGGCTTCTAACTTTATTTATTGTCACAGCATGCAACTGCTGAGGTCACCGAGGTTCTACATGCTACTTATGAAAACAGGAGACAGGGCAGGTGTTGCACAGAGAGTGACTTTTCTGTTAAAGGCGACCAGCACCAGGGGAAAACAAATTGGATTGTGTTTCTTCATTGATTCTTCGAGTTGTGTTGAAGAAGGCCCAAGAAAGATTGCATTTTATTTTTTTTCCTTCTGACCATATCTTTTTTTGCCTGTGGGTTTTTGGTGCCTCTGTGTATGCACGTATAGAAATTGTAGGTCCTGAGTTTTCTGATTTTGCTGAAGGCTTTTTATGGACCACTGAACTTTTTGGTGGAGTTATATTACAAGGAGAAAGATTAAAATATGAAAACTCAGAACAGGAATACTAGGTGTTTTTGGTAATAACTTTTTTCTTTTTTAAAATTATTGTTACTGTTTGTTTATCTCAGGCTTCTTACTAACACAGGGAAGAAGGGGACTCTGAAAGGTTCAGCTCTCCTTCTAGGGAAAGGCACAACGTGACCTGCCCACTTGTGACAAGGCACAGTGAGACTGGTCACCTTGAACGCAAAAACGCTGAATATTTGAAATAATTCAGTGTTAGGGGAGAAGAGCAGCTAGTGGTCTCTTTGGAGGAGCTTTGAGTTTCTTCGTGGTTCTCCTGGTGAGTCCTCCGGTGGTTTTTCTCTCTGCCCCAGCTTCTCTTATCTCGTGCGTTGAGATAAGGACGTCAATAAAGTGGGGACTTATGTTTGTAAAAGGCTGTCAAAGAGAAGTCTTTTAAGTCTCTGGGGCAAGGAATAGCAGCCGGGGTGTGAGCAGGTGGCTGTTATTTAGCTTGGCCACCTCTAACTGCTCTTGCTGTGCCTCTCCTTACAGCAAATTCACGCGATCTGGAATGGCAGGACGCTGCGGAGATCTCCTTTCCCTGCCCTGTCCCATCCCCTCATCAGGAGAGCATTTGCAAGAGGTCAGCGATCTCTGTGAAGCTTAAACTGGATCTGTCGGCACCATTACAAGACGACCAAAGCCCTGCCCCTTCCTTTAGGTGCTGCTAGGGCTAGTGGCCGCTGCGTGGAGATCAGAGCATCCCCTGATCCCCAGGCACTGTTCCCAGGGAATTTCCCATGGTTCTGCACCAGCCACCCATGGGATCACGCAGTCTGGTGGGCACTAGCGCTCAGGTTATAGCAGGTATCCGTAACGGGGAGTGCTTTGCACCCCTGGCTGTAAAGGGAGAGGGGAGAACAGGCCTGTGTTTCTGCACTGACCACGGGCAGAGGAGAATGGACCTTGGCTTCCTGCAAAGCTGCCAAGTGGGAGGAGAGGCTGCTTATTGCAGACCAGAGCAAGGGAGACATCAGTTTTCAGAGCAAGGAAGGTAAGTAATGACTGGAAGGCATCCAGAAGATTTGAGAAGAATGGGGAAAGAGCTAAGCACATCTTTGATTTGATCCAGAAATTTCTTCAGAAGATGCTCCAAGCAATCCCACTAATGTTCTTTCATGGTGTTAGGTGGATTACATCTTTGCCAGATCCAGTAGCAATATTGTTCCCTGTTGGCGCTCTCTGTTGTTCTCTGTTGGGTTCATTTTGAAAAAAAGCTCCATCTCTCAGTGCATTAAGTCACTCCTTGCTTCTTGAGGAGAAGCAGGTGGTGGGTGCTGAAGCCATCTCCTCAGGGTGGGATGAGACTCACTGCCGGTGGAGTTGGGACGTGTGGTGACTGTCAGTTGTGTGCTGGGCTCCCATGTGATGCTACTCCACATAATGTGGCTGTAATACTGATGCTGTGAGTCTGCGGGAAACTCCTGCACCGCTGTGAATGGGGGCGAGTTCTTCTGAGGTAGGATGTGGCTATGGAGAAAACTCCAGAAGTAGGGGCAGAGTTAGAAAAGCGATAGACAGAATGGGGTCTATCACAGGTATTGTCCCTTTACAGAAAGTGAGAACAGTAAAGTTGTATTCCGAGAAGTCCTTGCTCATTGAATCACTTCAATTCCTTCTAAGAATTCAAGCCTAAGAGCATGCAATACTGTAAAATAGGTGATTTCCCAACAAATCCACATGCTGATTTGCACAGTCTGTCTTTGGGTTTTCTTTCAAAAGTCCTCAGTGAGCTGGTATACACACACTCTCAGAAAATCGTTATAATATATATGCATTATTTTAAAAAGAAAACATTTTAATGAGTTTGGTTCTGTTTCTGCTTTCTCCATGCTTAACGTGGGGGGAAAAAAGCTGTTGGTTGAAAGGTAGGAACCCCTTGGCCGTTTG